TTTGTTGAATGACTAAATGAACACATAAATGAAGAGTATCTACTTTTGTTTGAACTATAATAAATTATAAGAAATTTGACCATTTTTGACCACAAAAGTAGCCATGTAATATGGTTTAACACTGATAAAATGCAGGAGATGCAATGATCCAGACATGATCTTTTCTCTCCTGGTTTTTATGACCTGTTCCCAGAGACAGTGTTAGTGCATTTACAGAGGTTAATGGTGTGAGCTCCAAAGTCAGACTGGGGTGCAGCCTGGTTCCTTCATTTCCTAGCTGTGTGATCATGGGTAGGTCACTGCTTCTGTGTCCTCTGTAAAATGGAGATAATAGAGACTTACCTGATAGACCTGATGTGAATGTTAAGTGAGATATTGTAGGCTCTACACAGTACGTGGCACCTAGCAAAGATTCCATACCTCTTAGGTGCTGTTTCTACTATTAATATTACTGAAAGTTTAGTATGCACCAAGCCCTGGTGTATAGTCTTTTCTTTCTATGAGTTGGCAGCCTAGTTAGGGTAATAGAAAATGAAACAGTACAGTATGATGCTTGATAAGACTCTAGCAATAAGAGTACTCCAGAAGCCAAGAGCAGGATGCCACACCCAGAATGATAGTCAGGGAAAGCTTCCTGGAGGAGGCTATATCTGAATTGAAAGCTGAAGAAGTAGGACTCAGCTGGGAGTGGGTGGGGTTGGGGGAGTGATGGGGATGGAGGATAGTGTCCGGAGGTAGAGGAAGCAGCACAAATGAAGACCTGGGTGTGTGAGAGAATGTGGTGGTCAGTAGAGTAAGAGGGGCATGGAAGAGACCAAATGGTGCAGGAAGAAGTAGGCTGAGGTCAGGTCTTGAAGGGCTCAGCTCAAGAGCTAGCAGGGGATGGCCTCACATTTGCGCTTAAGAAACATCTAGAGGTGGCGAGAAGGGATTGTGTTGGGATAAAATGAGAGGGAGGAAACCAGCTAAGAGGCTGGTGCCATAATTATGGGTGAGATGACTGCCTGGGTCCCTGCTGTGGCAGTGGAGACAGAACCTTGGGAAACCCCACATTTAGGGGGCACTGAGGAACTGGCACTTGCTAAGGGCTTTGTTAAGGACAGCATAAATTCTAAATTGTGTAAGCATAGTATAAGTTAATTGTTTGCAATGGAAAGAGTGGGGGATGGATGGGCTACAAAACAAAGAGCAACCCACACTTAGTCTTACTCCAGAATCCTCTTGATTGCTTGTACAGATTACTACATATTTTATTCTTTGGCATTCTGTGAGTATTACTGTCTTATTTTTATTTGTGATTAAAATTCCCCCAAGTGTCTGACAAAACATAAAAGTAGTCCTGGCTTCTAGAAGACTTAGGATCGAGATATCAGAGTAAAGAGTCAAATGGCTGGAAACAAAACAGTTAGCAAAACCACACTGCATAGGGAAGGCTATTTTCATCCTTGATTTTTGTAGCTAAGCAGGGCGATGAGGACAGCTTCCTATGTTTTCATAATCCTTGAAACTGTGCTCTGTTGTAAGACCTTACATTGCTCCTGGTGGATGAGACAGACCAAGGTCATGTATTCATTCAACTAATGATTATTGAGTATCTACTAGGTATTAGGTGTTAAGCAGTGGTCAAGACAGATATTATCCTTGCTATCATGCAGCCTATGTTCTAGAAGATGAAATAAAATGGAATGTTTATTGTCTTGATGAAAAATGGTAAACATTTTTTCTGCTTCCAGTATCTTTTGGCATAAGATGATAGAAAAATGTATCTATAGATCAGATATCTTTCTGATTTGTTTTCCATATTAGAGGCAGTATAGAGGTGTTATGAGGATTACATGAGTTAGAACATGAATAATGCTTAAGACATAAGTGCTTAATAGATGTTAGCTGCTATTTTATATTATGTGATACTTCATTTATTTTGCCAGTCTTTCTTACTAACTCATGTAGGTTATTACCTCTAATTTATCTCTTAAATCCTATCTATCAGCTCCATCTGGTAGCCAGGTTACCATCATTGTCTTGCCCAGACTCTAGCAGCAGCCTCCTACTTGGTCTTTATATCCTTCTCCCTCTACCCAATATATTCTCCACCTTGCATTCAGAGTAAAATTTATGCCCTTAAATTAGTTTCCTATTGCTGCTGTAAAAATTTCCGTGAATTGAGTGGCTTAAAACAACACATTTATTATCTTAAATTTCTGGAGGTCAGAAGTCTGAAATCTGAAATTAGTTTCACCGGGCTAAAATAAAGGTGTTGGCAGTGCTACTACCTTCTGCGGGCTCTAGGGACAACCCATTTCCTTGCCATTTTGCAGATTCTGTAGGTCATCCACATTCCTTGTGGTCCCGCATCACTCTGACCCTTGCTTCTATTGTATCTCCTTTGACTTGCCTGTCTCTCTCTTTCACTTATAAGGACTCCTGATTATATTGGACCTACCCAGATAATCCAGGATAATCTCCCCCCCTCAAAATCCTTAACTTGGGGCCGGCCTGGTGGTGTGGTGGTTAAGTTTGTGTGCTCCGCTTTGGCGGCCCAGAGTTCACAGGTTCAGATCCCAGGTACGGACCTACACGCTGCTCATCAAGCCATGCTGTGGTGGCATCCCACATGCAAAAAAAACAGGAAGATTGGCACAGATGTTAGCTCAGGGACAATCTTCCTCAAGCAAAAAGAGGAAGATTGGCAATAGATGTTAGCTCAGGGCTGATCTTCCTCACCAGAAAAAAAAAAAAATCCTTAATCACATCTGCAAAGTTCCTTTTGTCGTGTAAGGTGACATAGTCACAGGTTTTGGGAATTAGGAGATGGATGTCTTCTGGGGACGCTGTTCTGCCTAGCACAGTTTCCATGTCATAGGACAGTGCCTAGAACATGGGGGGATGGGAGTATTCTTAATTTTTTATTTTTAGTGTAAATGTACTCCCCTACATAAAGCTTCTCTCGGGATTCCTGTTGTTTTTAGGATTAAAGACTAAAACCCTTAACAAGGCCTGGGAGATCCCCGTGGCCTTTCCCAGCCTGGTGCTTGCCTGGGCCTCCAGCATGTTCATGAACTCTTCTCCCCTTTACTTGCAGAACTCCAGCTCCACTTCCTCCCAGTCCCCGAGGACCTTGCCATGGCCTCTGCTTATACGAGCTCGCTCTCCCCTCTCCAAACACCTTTGCTGATATGCCTGCCACTCACCCCTTGGATTGTAGAGCAAACTCTGCTTCCTTAGGGAGCATCATCTTGGCCTTCTCTGTGCTGATCAGATATTCTACTGGCATGCCGCCCGGGAGCCTGAACTTCTTCATAGCAGCTTGCAATGGCTTATTGGAATTATTTGTTTCATCTGTAAGCTCTGTGAAGGCAGTGACTATTTCCATTGTATACTCAATGTTGATCATTTATTCAGTGCTCAATAAATATTTGTTAAAGGAATGGGTTAAAATGAAAAGACAGTATGCCTTTAAAGTAGCTCTTGGTTTTGCTCACCAGTGTAGTATTGTAGCCACAGGCAGAATGGGGTTTAGGCTTATTGGAAGAGTTTGTTCAATAAAAGAAGATAGGAGATTGTTAATTATTGAGTAAAGAAACCCAAATGTTTTTCATTTTTCAGTAAGAAAATAGAATTATTTTCATTACTCAGTAATTTTCAGACCCCTCTTCCATGTCTTTAAAAATGTGTTAAGACTTTGAACTGTCAGCATGAGCATATAGGATCTCACAGGCTAAGAATTCCATTAAATTTTTTTTTTTTTAAAGATTTTATTTATTCATTTTTTTCCCCCCAAAGCCGCAGTAGATAGTTGTATGTCATAGGTTCACATCCTTCTAGTTGCTGTACGTGGGACTCGGCCTCGCGTTGGACGGAGAAGTGGTGC